TTTTCTTTAAGATATTCAATATCTAGCCCTTTGCTTCAGATTGATTTCACTCAGCATGATATCCTCTAATTCCATCATGGTCTTTTTAAGGGATTTTGTCTCTAAGAATGTTTTTCAGGGGCTGGAGTGACAGCACAGTGGGTAGGGCATTTGCCTTGCACACAGGTGAACTGGGTTCGATTCCCAACATTCCATATGGTCTCCCGAGCACTGCCAGGAGTCATTCCTGAGTGCGGAGCCAGGAGAAACCCCTGTGCAACGCTGGGTGTGACCAAAAAAGCAAAAAAAATATTTTTCAGTCTTTAATTTTGAGCTTGTGCTATCCTGAATGTTTAGATGTATCTTGTATAGTCAAGAGACTGCTGGGTTTAATTTTTTAATACCTCTTGACACTCTGTGTCTCTTTACCGGTGAGTTCAGGCCACTGATTATGAGTGAGATTATTTAGATGAAGAAATTTATTGCCATCATTTTGTAATAGTTACACATGTTTGTGAGTTTTGTCTTGTCTTTTAAAGAAGTTCCTTACATGCCACTTGTAAAACTGGCTTCAAGGTTTAACTACCTAAGCTATTGCTTGTTTATGAAGCTTTATCTTGTTCAGTCAAATCCAAGTGATAATCTGAATAGAATGTTCTTGGTGAGATGTTCATTTCATTGGTATTTTTAACAATAACCCGCCATTCTCTTCTGGTACCACGTGAGTCCCCACCCCCAACCCCAGGGCAGCCAGGTCTAGCTCTAGAATGGGCACTGGTGCTCCCAGGAGCGATAGCACAGCGGTAGGGCGTTCGCCTTACAAGCGGCCAACATAGCCGACCCGAGTTCGATTCCTCCGCCCCTCTCGGAGAGCCCAGCAAGCTATCGAGAGTATTCGATATGCCAGACACAGTAACAACAAAAGTCTCCAATGGAGACGTTACTGGGCCCGCTCGAGCAAATCGACGATCAACGGGAGGGCCTTTATAAAATAAAATTATTTAAATTTTTTTTCTTAAAATAGGTTTTCTACCAAATAAACCTATCTCTGTGGCAGTGCAAGTTTATCATTACATAGCTACTGGTCTTTGCTATGTGAGTTACCATTCCCTATCTTGAGCCCCTGCTTCCTATCCCATTCCTTAGTTCAAACTCTTTTTTTTTAATGTAGGAGTACTGCTATTTATTCAGCCACTGATTAGCTGATTGAATTGGGCATGAACTCCACCTTACTTTTTTTTTTATTTTTTATAATTTTATTTATTGAATCACCATGAGAGCAGTTACAAAGCTTTCGGGTTTAAGTCTCAGTCATACAATGAAACACCCGTACCTTCACCAGTGCCCATTCTCCACCCCCAAAAACCCCAGTATACCCGTATCCCACACCCTCCCTCTACCTGTGGGGCAGATGATTTCCACATTACCCTCTCTCTACTTTGTTTACATCCAATATTTTGACACCACACCCACCATTATTATTTGGGATTTTACCCCAACACTCAGATCTGCTGAAAAGGCAACAGTAGACAATTTGTTTTCTATTGCTGGTTATGAATAACATATGATGTTGCGTGGCTGCAGTAGTGGCCATGTGATTTTGAAATTCCCTCCAGATTTAATTTTAACAATTAAATCTGGAGGGATTTCTGCCAAAACCTGCTGGGTTCTGAGATTTGTTCCTGAGTCTCTTGGATGGATCATGGCTGTTAAGCAGCTTGATCAGGAGCTAGAGAGGCCGTTCGTGGGCGGTGACTTGGGGTCTCGTTGGGGTGGAAAGGAAAGGGCCGGCTCCACACCCATCCAGTGAGGCCCTTCATGTCTCGTCACTGCGGGCACAAAACTGACTGTCTAATGGCCTCTGGCAGGTGGTGGCCACTGAACCGCTAAGGGGAAGCAGGCGGAGGAACACCCCTTTCTTCCTGGGGTGGCCCGGCGACAGTAACCTACTGCACGGTCCAGATGCATTTCTGCCAAAATCCGCTGGATTTCGAGATTTGTTTCTGAGTCTCTGGGATCATGGCCATTAGGCAGTTTGATCAGGAACCATGCCTTCAAGTATATAGCTGAGCTGGAGGTGGTTTGTGGGTGTGTCTCCCACATACCTAACTTTTGGCTATTTACTTTCTTGGTAAACTTTGCCCCAAGTTTGTGGGGTCTAGCCAAAAGCACAGCAGCAATTTTGGGGTATCTGGAAGTCTGAAGGTGCCATCAGGCTGCTGATGCACTCGCCTCACAGGTACAGATTGACCAGCTGGCAGCACCATATCCCAAGTTCAAACTCTAAATGCCCTCATCTGGCACTTCTAGTTTTAAAATCCATCTCCATGGGTATTCTTCATATGGGTGTAATTAAATTTGTCCTTTTTGCTTATTAATCTGCAGTTAACTTCATCACTCATCTAGCCCAAAAATAACCCAGCAGAAATTTCCTCTCTACCCTATACAATCAAAGTGGTCCCATTTTCCTTGCCAAAGACTGGTTCAGGCAAGAACATATGTTGCAATGCTGGCTAATGTTGTTATAGAGACTTCTGAGAAAAAAATTTTTGATCTTAAAAAAACGACATACGAAGATGAAGGTCCTTTGTCTGCCTCTAGGTATTGTGAAAATGTGCTACTTGGAGCTACAGCGGCCATGTTGCGACCTGGGAGAAGACAGAACTTTGGGACAAAGAACACCAATGTAAAAGAAATGAAAACACTCGAAGTCCTGGACAAGTTTATTGAATTGCTGGAATTAACCAAACTACTTCCAGTATTCTGTAATAGGAAACAGAATACCACTGTCTTTGTTTTGGGCAGCTAAAGAAGACTGTCCACTACTCAAGAGAGAGAACTTACCTGAGGCTACACAGGAAAATGAAGTTCTGGGCTGCATTCAAGATCTCTGTTTCAAAGTCAGTAGATAAGCGTCAGGCCACGGTTAAGTTTCAAAACTTGTGACACACTAGGTACTTAATATATAGCAGAATGCAATAATGGAAAAAAGTTAAGGTGCAAACAAGATCTGGTGGGACTGTAGCACTGTAGCACTGTCCTCCCGTGGTTCATTGATTTGCTCGAACAGGCACCAGTAATGTCTCACAACAAATTGTGAACTTGTTGTTACTGTTTTTAGCATACCGAATACATCATCAGTAGCTTACCGGGCTCTCCAGGAGGGGCAGAGGAATCAAACCCTGGTCGGTCGAGTGCAAGGCAAACACCCTACCCACTGTGCTAACACTCCAACCCAATGGAGAGACAGCAAAAGTAAAATGACCAACTGAGAGACACAATGGGGGGAAGACTGTGTTCACTCCAGAGAGGAGAGAATGTCTGATGTGGGTTATCCCAGCAGGGAGAGAGTGAGGGAAAGCACTGCTGACCGAAAATGCAGAACATAGTGTAACACTTTGGGGAATAGGGAGTTTATCCAGGGCAGGAGATGAGGTGAGAAAAGCGGGAGGACTTGAACAACTGGCCGAGGAGTTTGGCCTCTAACCTTTGGGTAGTGGTTAGTCCTTAAAGGCTTCTGAGTAGCAAAGTGCGTGACGTTCAGATGATTTCCTAGCCCTGGCATGGGAGATAGACAAGGATGGAGGATAGACTCCGGGCCAGAAGAACAGTGAGAAACTTCAATAGCCAAGTCTGGAGGTGATGGAGGTCTACCTTGGTGGATTATTATGGGCATTGAGGATAAACCAGCAGGGCTGAAACTGGGAGGAGGGAGGAAGTTGTGAATGCCTTCAGCTCTTCCTCGCTGTTCCTAAGTGCCCTGGGCAGTGGATGGGAGGCTGCCCTAAGGGGAAAACCAGGAAGAAGTGGAGGGAGGAAGCAGCCCAAGACAAACTTCCCCTACTTCCTGGACTTGCCTAAGGAGAAAGCTGGGCAAGAACAATTAGAGAGTTGATGCCAACCCCCCAGGCTTTCCTCTCCCACCTGGGAGGGAAGAAGAGGTGGGACTGGCACAGCCCAGGATTCCCTGAGGTCGACTGGTGTGACACTCAGAGACCTGACACTCAGTGGGACCCCACATACCTAGCAAGCCATGCTGTGTGTGAAGCAACAGGGCAGGTGGTGGCCCCCTTCCTCCCAGGGGGGATCCCAGCACAGATTGCAGAGAGACCACCTGAGCTGTGATCTAGAGGAGGGTACGGCAGCTCAGCTAGGACTGTCCCGGGCCTTGCGTCCTGGGCGCACCCCCACTTCGTTCTCCTCAGGAACGCTTGAGGAACCGTGACATCATCCCACTTCCACTTAGCCACTTCTAGACCCTTGGATGTGGCCGGAGAACTGGGTTCGCCTCTTCCAGTTTCACCATCACCCACATGGGAGACTCCACGTGAGCGGCCTCAGCTCGGTGAGCATGATCTTCTCTGCTTGAGAAATAACACGTCATTCACAAGCATCATGACCTAGACCCAATGTGCCATCTAACTAACTCGGGCCGGTGCCTGCATGGAGTGGGGACTCTTGGATATGACCTTATTCCCTCATTCCATGGCTGATGGGCATTTTCTCTGAATGCTGCAGTAAACAGCCTGACCCATTCTTTTTTTTCTCTCTCTCCTTTGCCTGATTTTTTCTCTGCACCAACTCCTTTCTAGGTACTAGGAAAACACAATCCCAACCATCATGAAAATTCCATCCTCCTGAGGGAGACAGATATTAATTAAATAATGATACAAGTGAAACTCAAATTAGCTGAGTGCCATGAAGGAGGGAAAAACCTCCCACTTTCATATCCCCAGGATTTTCAGAGATGGAACTGGTACACTCTTGGCTCAGCTAGGATGGAGGGATGCTGGGGACCTGACTTTCTTGTTAACTGGCTTCCCAGAATGTTCAGTTCCCCAAAAGAGACATATTCAGAACAGGGAACTTGGAAAGAGAAATCTGGAATGCTCCCAGGTCCAATCCTGAACCAGGCTTCTCAGAGCCCACCCCTTCCCCAACATACATAAAGGCCCTTCCCGGATGCATCTTCCACAGCACTTAGCAGCGCCCAGGAGAACAGATTCTGCTCCAACTCCATCATGAAGTTCCTCATCGTCCTGCTGCTGGCCAGCCTGGCTTACACCTCTCCTGTCCCTAACGGTGAGTTGGGTACCCCCACATTCCTCCTCTGTCCCGAGAGGTCAGTGAGTTGCCAGCCACACAGATTCAGCACAAAGGCATCCCTCAGTCTTTCTAATGGGCCGTGTGCAGAGCTAGAAAGATGTGGAATCAAAACCTCACACCTGTACTGACAGGTATGAAATCAGGGAAATGGGGAACCCGTGGCTTGGAGCCACACAAGCTAATCTGAACCCATGTCAGGGTGGACAATGTGTCAGTGGAGATTCAGAGTCGAGTCCAGCCTCTGATGGTGCTGAACAGCCTGAGACAGAGCCACCCGGGACCTCTCTGCTTCCTTTGCATAAATAAGGGCAGGATGAAATACTCATTCATTCTACAATACTTTGAGCACCTACTCTGTTCCGGGCACATAGGTGCTTGGGATATAGGAACAAAAGAGACCGAGATCTCAGTTGCCACTTCTAGGAGAAAGACACAGTATAAAATTATAAAGAGTGTTAGAAGTGCAAGGAGAAGACAGTGTGGGATGAGGGGAGATGGGGAAGCTTGGGGCAGGAGATGATTACATAGAACATCTCCTGGGTTAAATGTCTTGAGCGCTGGGGAGACCTTAACTCCTTATTTTTCAGAGCCACAAGATAAAATCCACTTGGAGACTCAACACGCAGATGCCGGTAAGTCCTAAGTTGATATACTTTTGTGTAGGTTGGTAGTGGTTAAAAGATGGTCTGAGTCCACCTGAGAAAGAAATATTGCCAAGATACTTCTACCTTGTATTAGACCTGAATCTCGCCTTCTGTACTAGTGGCTAAGATGTGGTGTCCAGGACCATTTGGAATATTGTTTTGCTTGGTTTGATTTAGATAGGTTCGGTTAGGTTGGCTTAGGCATGGATCACACCTGGTATCTGTTCCAGAGTTACTCCCTGCTCTGTGCTCAGACGTTATTCCTGGCAGTGCTCAGAGGACCAGTTCTGAGGATCAAGCACCAGCCTCCTGATTGCAAAGAAGGCTTTGCATATGTTCAGCCCATTTAGCTGTCTCTCTGCCCCTCAACTGCACTTAATGCTGGTTGTTAGTCATAGGAGATGGGAATGGGGACAACACCTTACACCCAAATTCTGGTGAGGAAGTCCATTCAGTTCACCATGAGGAGAGAATGTCATGGTTCTTATCTGCCCCAGGACCCGAAAGCCCCAGACCAAAGCCATGAACATGCTAGGATTCTGCTTTGTCAATTATCAATAAGCAGGTTTAATCTCAGAGTAGCTCCCTCCCACCCCAGTTTACCTGGGAGAAGGTCAAATTCATCAATATCCAGAATGCAAAGGGGGAAAGACAATAATTATAAAACCCTCCTATCACCAAACACTTGGACAAGTCTTTGCATGTTTTATTAAGTTTTGATTTTATTTTTATCGAATCACCGTGAGACACAGTACAAAGCTTTCATGTTCGAGTTTCAGTCATACAATGATCGAATATCCATCCCTCCACCAGTGCACATTTTCCACCACAATGTTCCCGGTATACCAACCCCCATCTTACCCCTCCCCCTGCTTCTATGGCAGACAATTTCCCCCATATTCTCTCTCTACTTTTGGGCATTATGTTTTGCAATACAGATACTGAGAGACTATTATGTTTGGTCCTTTCTCAACTTCCAGCACACATCTCCCATCCTAAGCTACCCTCCAACCATCATTGACTTAGTGGTCCTTTCTCTATTCCAGCTGCCTTATCTCCCAGCTCATGAGACAGGCTTCCAACGATGGAGCAATATTCCTGGCCCTGTCCTCGGGTGTCAGTCTCATATTAAGTTATTTTATATTCCACAAATGAGTGCAGTCATTCTATGTCTGTCCTTCTCTTTCTGACTCATTTCATTTAGCATGATACTCTCCATGACCATTCACTTATTCATGACTTCATCTTTCCTAAGAGCTGCATGGTATTCCATTGTGTAGATGTACCAAAGTTTCTTTCTCCAGTCATCTCTTCTCAGTCTTTGCATGGTGAATCTGTTTTAATTAGGAAAGTGGAATTTCCAATTACAGAAAGTGGAATTCCCTTTCAGCAGTACTCAAAACCAGGGATGCTGGGGCCAGAGAGATAACTCAAATGGTTGGGGTACAGGTTTTGCATGGAGAAAGCCTAGGTTCAATCCACAACCCAATCTGGTTCCCTTGAGCATGACCAAGAACACCTTAAAGCACCAAGCAGTAGATGGCCCACTGAGTACAGTGTTGCTCCCACCCTCCTTTCCCACACCAGACCCCACACACACACTCACACACACATAAACTAAAAGTCAGATAAGGAACGATAGGGAATGTGGCCTGGTGTTTGGGCTCGGTAGCCAGCTTACAGACATGAAACTGGAGTTTGATCCTCCCACACACACTACCCCACATCCCAAGTGTGATTACCTCTGGTGACTTCCAGCACCACAACCAAGTGAGGTCATCACTGTGTCACTGTCATCCCGTTGTTCATCGATTTCCTCGAGCAGGCACCAGTAACGTCTCCTTCATCCTAGCCCTGAGATTTTAGAAAGGGACACATTCGAGGCTCTTTGAGGGTCAGGAGAATGAGAACCATCATTGTTACTGGTTTTTGGCTTATTGAACACGCCACGGGGAGTTTGCCAGACTCTGCCGTGTGGCAGGATACTCTCGGTAGCCTGCCAGGTTCTCCGGAGTAAGAACTAGATAATAAGCTTCCGGGAGCTGGGTTTTATAGTCTCTGGGTCTTGGCCGTTGATGGGATTACACGGTGCCAGGGGCAGTTGGTGGGTGTCACGCCTACATACTGGAAGATGGGGAATCTGGGTGGAGAAGGCCCAGACCTCGGGACTGAGGTCATCACAGAAACCAAAATTTAAAAAGGGTGGGGAGAAGGAAGGAGACAAAGATGTGCCATTTAGGTGCACTTATAGCACAGCGGGTAGGGTGTCTGCCTTACAAGCGGCCAACATGGCCGACCCGAGTTCAATTCCTCCGCCCCTCTCGGAGAGCCCGGCAAGCTACCGAGAGTATTCGATATGCCAGACACAGTAACAACAAAGTCTCCAATGGAGACGTTACTGGGCCCGCTCGAGCAAATCGACGATCAACGGGAGGGCCTTTACCTTTACCTTTTAAATTTGGACCCTGATTGGAACCGGAGGCATAACACAGCAGGCAGAGTGCTTGCCTTGCTTACAGTTGACCCGGGTTCAATCTCCAACACTCTACATGGTCCTCCAAGTCCCTAAGAATGAACCCTGAGCACAGAGCCAACAGTAAGCCATGAGCACAGCCAGGTGTGGTCCAAAAAAATCAAAATGAAATGAAATGTGGATCCTGGTTGTATGCTAATATGGCAATGATTCCGTGATGATCTCCTCCACCTGTTAAGCTAACTGCCTCTCCCAAACGTTTTCTGTGTCCTTCACCCCCCCAACACACACACAGTTGCCCAACTCAATCACCGCAGCGTACATCCTAAAAAGGACCAAGTCGCCAGTGAGGACCTTTATGCAGAGTCATCCATCTCCAAAGAAGAGATTGTTTCCAGAGACGATGCTGTGATCAAGTTTGTCAAGAAAGTAATGGATTCTGGGACTGAACTGCTTCACTCCATTGCCCAGAAGGTCTTCAAAAAGGTTGACCTCCAATTAGAAGAGAGTGAAGAACACATTCCCAAGACCAAGACCGGTAAGGGCCTGGGGAGAGGCTAAGGAGGAGAAAAAAGGGCGGGTCATTTTTTTTTCTTTTTAAGAAAAAAACGTAAGTTCCATGAGATCCAAGAAATGTATTGATTGCCTATGCCTACGCTGAACTGGATGAGGAGAGGGTTGTATAATTAGCTTTACCCTGACATTTCCCTTCCAATATTCCCCAGTAACCATCTCCGAGGGAAAACTGGCTGAATTCGCGGAGCAAATCAAGAAGGACCTGAAAGAAGCCTTGAAAAAGTACGCTGACATCATAAACAAATTTTTCCCTCCTACCCCTAAAGCCGAAAATCCCTAAAGAGGAGGATGACAGCACCCCAGTTTGGGACACGGGAGGCACATACAGAACCCATACTCCCTTCCCCCCCACCCCTCACCCTCTCTTGGTCCCACAAATTCCTTATTAAAGTGCTGCATCCTGGGCCAGACTCTCCGATGGATTTGTTGAACTAGGATGGACACAAAGAGATCCTCACTCCACTGGAATTTTTTTCCTGGTTACCCCGATCTTTGCCTCTCAGAAAGCCCGGCAAGCTACCGAGAGTATCCCGCCCACACAGGCAGAGCCTGGCAAGCTCCCCATGGTGTATTCGATATGCCAAGAACAGTAACTATAACAGGTCTCACTCCCCTGAATCTGAAAGAGCCTCCAATCGTTGGGAAAGGCGAGTAAGGAGAGGCTGCTACAATCTCAGGGCTGGGATGAATAGAGACGTTACTGGCGACCACTCGAGTAAATCGATGAACAGTGGGATGACAGTGACAGTGATACAGTGATACCCCAATCTTTGGTTTCAAACCTTTCCTCTTTCCACTTTGACACTTATTCAGGTCTCCACATCCAAAAGAGCCCCTGTAAAGTCTCAGACTCCACAAATGCCTTCTCTCCGACCCCTACCACCAGGCTTCCCCACCCCTCCAGCCTTCACCCCTCCAGTCTTCTGCACCCCTCCAGCCAGCGGCCCTCCGTTCCACCACCTGCTGCAAGTCCTCTTTCAGAACTCACTGGCACCACGTTCTTCCTTACCCCTCACTCTTCACTCTACCTACGGAATTGGCCACAAGTCCCCTTCTTCGAAACCTGCTCCTCGCTGACTCCTATGTTGCTCAGCTCCAATCCTTCAAGCTCTCCGATCCGGTCCCTGGTGCCTTGGTGCCCACCTTCTCTCACCCTTTACCCTCTTCCCACCCTTCTCCTTTACCTGCCAAGACTTCGGCTTTGCTCCAGAATGGAGGACGCGTATTCCCTGACTCGTGTCCCACAGGCACCCGCTAACGGTTCGCTGTGTGCTGGACTCGTCTAACTTTGTACCGGGCAAGGCCAGGTTTATCAGTTGTCTCACAGAAAACCAGCTCTTGGCAAGGGGTTTAGTGCAGCAAAGTTTTGTTTTTGGAGGCAACAACCCAGGAAAATAGCAGAGCCTCCAGGCTTCTTGTTTGTTTGTTTGTTTGTTTTACTTTTTGGGTCACACCTAGCAATGCACATCCCAGAATCCCATACTCCTGGCTTTGCACTCAGGAATTACTCCTGGCGGTGTTCAGGGGACTATATGGGATGCTGGGAATCGAACCCGGGTTGGCTGCGTGCAAGGCAAATGCCCTACCTGCTGTGCTATCGCTCCAGCCCTGAGCTTCCAGGTTTAAAAATAATAATAAAATAAAATAAAGGCAACCTCTTGGCCATATGGTCCCACAGGTCTGGTATGCAGAGGACTAAATTCATGGTTGCCCCCACCCCATCCCCCTCCCACTATCAGGATAGTCCTCTTGGGCCCCCAAACACTAATCACTTGTGATTCTGGTGGGTACCAGCAGCACTGGGCTTAAGGGACCTGAAGATCTAAATGTGAAGATCTAAAGATGGCTCCAAAAACTTTCGTGTCTGCTTGATTGCTAGACACATTCTGAATTACTTGTCTGGGTACAGCCAGATCCCTGCTGTTAACAGCTCTCAGTTCTAGGAACAAAGTCTGGAAAGAAGACTGCATGTCAGGCCACTTGGGTCAATAAATTGAAATAGCAGGGGTTGTACTCAGCGTACTCCTACCCAGCACAGGAGGGAAGAATGTGGCCTTCCCTAGGTTTGGGCAAGGGGCAATCAAGAAATAACATTGATGGGGCTGGAGTGATAGCACAGTGGGTAGGGCGTTTGCCTTGCACGCAGCAAACCCGGGTTCGAGTCCCAGCATCCCATATGATCCCCCAAGCACCGCCAAGAGTAATTCTTCAGTGCAGAGCCAGGAGTAACCCCTGTGCATCACCGGGTGCAACCCCAAAAAGAAAAGAAAAAAAAGAAATAACACTGGCAACGCCAACCCCCAACAACACTACCTTTTAAGATTTCTTCAATACCTGGGAGTCAGAGAGATACTACAGCACATGTCTGGCCCAGGCTCAACCCCTGTCACTGCATATGGTCTCCTGGGTCCCACTAAAAGTGATCCCTGAGCACAGAGACAAGAGTGATCGCTGAGCACAACCAGGTATGGCCCAAAAATACCCCCCCCTGCAAAAAAAAAAGATAAAGAAAAAGACAGACACTAGAGTTTTTGGTATTATAGCAAATGACATGAGGACCATTAATGGGCTCAAAGCACAGTATCGCCTTACAAATGACTAGACCGATGTGCTATAAACCTCAATCCAGGGCTCTCTGTCAAAGTCGGATAAGAGATCTCAGGACAAAAGGGTCTCCTGCTCCCCTCCAGGATTCGAAGACATCTATTGAGACATCCTGGAGATGCCTTTGCCAGGCTCTTGCCTAAAAGATGGTTTAGTCTTCCCCAAAGGGAGTACAGAAGGAAGGAATATAAAAGTGGGCTGGAAAGCATTCCCTCCAACCTGCCCCTATTGTGGGAAGAGGAAAGCCATCTGAAGAGGAAAGCCACCAACCCAGTGTCTTTTCTCGACCCTTTGGCCTTAGCAGGTGGGTCCGTGATTTGCCCTCAGACACAGGGGCAGTGGGAGGGCAAGCGAAGGTGCCCGCGCATTCAGCACCACCTCCCGCTCTGCAGATCTGTAACCATTTGGGAACCACTAAAAGTGGCATGATGATCGGGTCCCCTGATTTTTAGGGTTCCTACGGACTGATAGGAAGGAAACAAAAAGTGCTTTACCCATTTACTTAATTCTCACAAAAGAAAAAAAAAAGGAGCTGGAGCCATAGCACAGAGGGGAGGGCATTTGCCTTGCACGCAGCCTACCCGGGTTCAATTCCCAGCGTCCCATAGGGTCCCCTGAGCACCGCCAGGAATCATTCCTGAGTGCATGAGCCAGGAGTAACCCCTGAGCATTGCTGGGTGTGACCCAAAAAGCAAAAGCAAAAAAAAAAAAAACCTAATTTTCTGGTAAATAAATAGCAGCTTCAGATTCTCACCAGTATTGTTTGTAAATTCTCCTGGATTGAGAATGGGGCATTTTAATGTTGAATTGGATTCAACCAGGACACAGATTCACTCCCACAGTGCCCTTAACTAAGTTTCCCCTCTCCAATCAGCTGTTAGGATGCTCGGCCTGTGCGTTACTGTAAGGTTTGCTTGGGACCAAATGGCAGCCGACTGATGAAATATAGGCATTCCCAGAATCAAAGACCACCCTGACCCCTCAGGCACCAAAAACAGGGCTTATGGCCCCTCCCAAGCCTGGTAGCCCCCAGACTATACCCTGTGTTTACCAGGCACACCACTCCCACTGGTCTTTGTTACCTTTCTGGTCCAGGATAACTTAAATCCCTCTCAGCGTCTCCCGAACATCTGGCTTGTAGGGTCCACCAGAAGTGCGCCCCAATAAACTTTTATTTCTTCACTTTACTCATTTCTGTTGCTCAGCGCCGGATGAGGTCTCAGAACTATCAGAACAACACTCATCGGTAGCATGAAGTGTCAAGTAAGAGGCTGGAGCAATAGGAGATAGGGCATTTTCCTTGTACACACAAGCTGGGGATCGATCTTCACAGCCCATATGGTCTCCCACCCCCACGGCGGCTAACTCCTGAGCTCAGAGTCAGAAGTAAGCCCTGAGCATCACCAAGTATGGTCCAAAAACAAAAAAAAAAAAAAACAAACATAAAAGATTCAAATAATACAACATCCACAGAAAAATATCCCAAACTGAAATTGAGGCTTTTCAAAAGTAACAAAGAAACTTTAAATGCACTTTTTAAAAAAATTAAAATACAAAGACTCAAAGTCCAAATTGCTTCTTTTCTAGTTTCTTGTTCCTTTCTCTCTTAAAGGAATTCAGCTTTGTCAAGAGACCTAGGCAACCCCTCCTAGATACTTCTGCCAAAGTCAGGTCTCTATGACCCCAACCAGCTGCCAGGACCACAGCAGGGTCTCAGCACCTGCGAAAACTTTGTGACCTCTTAGACTGGATTGGGAGTGGGTTTTTTCTGTGAACCCTGCTGCTGCATAGACTAGGGTCTGTCTGTGGAGGAGAAGACGGGATACATGCACTCTCTCTTATTCCTCAGCTTCTCCATGTGTGGGGTGGGGAAGGTCATATACCTGCTTTCCTTCACTGCCCTGACCTGGGGAAGACAACCCTTTACTTCTAAAGTCGAAGGGACTGTGGTGAGAACTCATCCTAGTGAGAAGGAGTGTAGTAGTGGCAGCTCCTGGCTTAGAGTGTAGTCCCTGGGGGAGGGGGGAGGGAGGGAGTTATGCCTGGGGGGTGAAGAAATTCTTCACACACCCCCACCCCTTGGAAAAGGTGACATTCATGTGCCTGGGCCGTAGTATAACAGTTAAGGCACTTGCTTTGCTTGTGGCTGACTTGGGTTCAATCCCTGAACTCAGGGTCAATGTGGTCCCCCACCAGGAGTGACCTCTGGTGTACAACCAGGCATAAGCCCTGAGCACTGCTGGGTGTGGTCCCAAAGAATAAAATAAAATGTGACATTCCTCCAATGCCTCCAAAGCTGATTCAACTCAACCCCAAGTAGATTGTGGTCCCTGGGTTTTAAAGCCAGCATCCGTGGGCCCCAACAGCACAGCACCATAGCAATCCCAGGAACCATCTCCTAGAAGACGACTACACATCTCCTTGAATCAACAAAAGGATTCTTGCCTGGGGACCTGAGAATGTGCTTATGCTTCTAAGAATATTCTTGGGGTCCCAGGCAATTTTGCATCCAGAACCTATGCCTGGTTTTGGAGTAGGGAATCAGGTGGGAGACACCCATGGCCACCAACTTCAGAAGTCATCAAATCAAGTGAGGTTTGGGAAGATAGAATCTGAGAAGAGTCACCTTGCCTGCCAGTGGGAAATGGAGATCCCCTCACTGGAGATGATTCGCAC